TAGTTTTAAAAATAATTTGCATCTTCATCAACCATGCTATACGGACTGGGGTCTGTCTAATTTCCAATATCCATCTTTTTATACTGCATCATAGGTCTTCTTTAATTAGTACCTTCACATGTAATAATAAAACAGCTTAAAGTTATGGTTTTTTTTTTTTCCTGAAATGTTATGTATGTTAAAATGTGCTTACTTTAGTTTTGTTAAGCTGGACTTTCAATCTAGTACAAAGAAGTGGGAACAGCGTATGTCAGAGACATGAAAAACTTCAAAACTTGGAGCCTCAGTCAGACGATGATTTGCCTGTTCTTCTGAGGCTGTAAGAACTGGGGTGTTTTGTAGGGTTGTTGTACACAGTCACCTTTGTTGGGAGTTAGCTTTCTTTGAGGACATCTTGTAACAAATGGGTTCATGGGTACATGAATAAATCACGTATTTCATGTTGTCTCTTCAGTTTTTCATGAGAAGTCTGTCTGAGAATTTGTGGAGAGTTTGTGGCCCACTGAAATTAACCACATAATTCATTTGATAATTCATTTGATCATAACTTTTCACTGGGTCCCTCTACTGTCATCTGCCTGAATTGACTTTGGATACCTTGAGAGATTTTTATGAAAAAGGGTCAGAATTTACCTCTTTGCTGCATTTGTATAAAATCAAATCAGAAATCCTGGAAAGTGCAGACACTGAAACAGAGGAATGAACCTAATGCACAAATTTGGCCATAAAATAGCAGTTTCCTGATATTCTTCAGGCCCAGTAACCACACTCACACTATGCCAGTAAGGAATAAAGTGCAGTCTGAAGGCTATGGAATGTACCAGTTTATGTTGTCTAATTACAATTAGAGACATCTCTTTGCTTAATAAGTATTGGTAATTTAAAGTTCAAGTAGTTTTCAAAATGCCTTGTCCTTTAGCTATGGAGAAGAAGCTATGTATCAGGTATGATATGAGAGTACTGAGTATATACATGTGTGGATCCTCACATAAAATTCTGTTAAAGGCAGAATCCTTTATTATATTCTAATATATTATTATATTATCCTTTATTATATCCTTTATATTATCCGCATAAATATATATTTATACTAACGATCATAACTATGTCAGTTTCTTTCATGGTCTTGTCAGGGGGGTGGGGGGGGGGGAAATGGAACTGAAAAGCTCTTAGAGTGTGCCACAAAGCATGTGAGTCTCCAGATTAAGAACAGATACGTGGCCAATGAGATTTAAAATAGATGCTGCAAAAGCTAGCAGAAGTGTGCCTGGTAAACGGGAATCTGCGTTTAGGGCTATTAGAATAGCCCGTCCTGTGTTTCACTAGCTAGAATCCTTAGCGCTGAACACAATAAATCAGTGCCACTTACAGAGTTAAGTTGATTTTCATTCTGTTTAAATCAGAATTTTTTGCTCGTGTGTTTAAAGGTACGTAAGCCAGTGAACATATAGTGAGGATGTAAAGATGAGAGAAGAAATGGAGTAACAAGTATCAACACCATCACCATTTGCTACGTTTTGTAGTAGTAGGTATATAGATACCTAGAAGAATTCTTTCAGGGTTTAAAGTTTAAAGTTAATGGTTTACTTGGGAAGGTGTCTGTCTTCCTCTCTGCCTTTTCATTCCACATAGTAGTTGAACAGCATCACTGAGGCAAGATTACTGCAAGAAGGCAAATTCAGATCTCGTGTGAAAATTCTTGCTGACTTCAGTGGGAACTGAAAGGTGACTGCGGGTCCAGTTTTACTCTTTGCTCATCCCCAAACTTGCAAAAACTGGTTTGCCTTGCCTTGCCGTTTGGATGTGCTCAACTTAGAATAAACGTTATTGCATAGAAACGACATTTCCAACACTACAAAACTATCCCTGAGAGTAACAACTAACTTTAACCACCTGAAGGTTAGCCGTCTACTCAAAGCCAGTCCGTACTCAATGGAGAGAGACAGGCACCTTCAGAGGATGATTAATCCCATGTTCAAATAGATGTCAGAGTAACTGTCCTTAGGATTTCCTTATTCTATTGACCACAGAGAGAATCCAGGGGTAGCTGAGATTAAGTGTTTAACTTCTGGATGGCTAAAGGTAAGTGAGATGAATCCCCTGTAAGGATATGATTGTGAGTGGAAGTCTCGTGTGTCTCTTCCGCTCTTATTTTAGGTATGAATGTCAGAATTTTTATTCTTAAAATTCATTTATTTGCAGAAGGTGATCAGACTTTTTGGAAATAGTAGTTAATTTTACTTTCAGACAGAGGGTTAAGACAAAAATAGTCTGAGTTAGTCAGTATTTTAAGAACTAAATTTATGCTGTGATGAATAGTATGCAAAGTGGTGTTCTGTATAATATGAGATGAAGTAATTCCTTCTAAATGTGAGATTCAAAAGACTTGTATCTCTCTGTCAAGAAACAGAAATGCCATAAAAGCGTTTCCTCTTTAAGATTGCTTTGTGGTTTATTTTATCAATAATAATGTTATTTTTGCTGATTTACGGAAGACTGTAATGTCCTACAAACATGTGGCAAAACAATATTTAGATAACTGCTTGCTATTATTTACAGAAAAAACAATTGGCTTCTGCTAGATGAGAGTGACTGCTTTTGCAATGGGGGGGACTTGCCTTGCTGACAGCTGCTTGATTATGTGCTGGTTAGTTCAAGTAATGGTTGCACACAGTGTATTTGCTGCAGCAGCTAGGCACATACCTCGGGCTCTCTTACAAGACTTTTCTCTCTTACATACACAGACACGCATAGCTGCTGCGTCCTTCCCACTCGGATAGATAGATCAGATAGATCTAAGAGCATGTACGTGGGCGGCTGTTTACATACATATACATACATATATATAGGTACATACTTCATCTTGGTGTGTCGCAAACAGAAAGCTCAGGTATATCCAAAATAGTGCCTGAATAAAAATACCTGCTCTTAGAATTTAATGGACAAACTGGTAATCTCGCGACAAGATTTCCAAACTTTTCACTTTTCAGTTAGGAATGACTGTAAACACATTTCCTTCGGCAAGGACCAGGTAACAGAGATGGTGTCCTCTGCTCTGTACTTCGGTGTATCTACCTGTAGTATTGTTTTTCCTGTATAAATCAGCCTCCCTCAGAAGAACAGCTGAACAAGAAAGGTTTTCTTATACTGAAATGATGTATTATAGAGATATTTTTCTAGGCTAAGTGTCTTTATTGTGTAAAACACTTAGTGCTTTAAGATACTTATTTTTCTGTCTGTTTTAATCATATCTTTTGAAATAGTCTCCACAGGTTTTTCCGTTCGTAACGTTATGACACTTGATAAGATGATTGATTATGAAGTGTTGAGAGCCCTGCCATGTGATCATTTATTTTTAAATACACATTTGTACTAGCCAATGCTTAAATTTCTTGCAGGAATACATAAGAGATGCGAAACATAAAGCTTGAGTCTGATCGAATCTGATGCCTCTGGAAATAGAGTGCCACAGTACTGTGGTCTTAAAATAACAGATTCTGACTGAAACTGGAACTTTGCAGTGATAAATATTATGCAAAAAATTATGGTCCATCTTTGGTACAAAATAAAAAAGACATACAGCTGTGGTGGAGGCGAACTAAAACGTGTTTGATGATGATATCTTTCTTTTTCTGTGCAGGTGCCTGTGTCAGTGGCCATGATGACTCCCCAGGTGATCACCCCTCAGCAAATGCAGCAGATTCTCCAGCAGCAAGTGTTGTCTCCACAGCAGCTTCAAGCACTTCTTCAGCAGCAGCAAGCAGTTATGTTGCAGCAGGTAATGTGGGTTACCTGCTTTTGAGTTTTAGCACAGGGCATTCTCACAAGTGTTGGCTGTGATTTTATGGGTCTTATTTTTTAATATTTCATCACTTATTGCACCAAAAAGAATAAAAATAAATGTGAAGCTTCTCAGTCTTTAAATTTCTTACTTTAATTGCAGAAGCGTGAAATTGCAATTCCAAAACATTAAATATTATATTAAAAATAGTAGTGACAGCAGTGGCAGAATCGTTACAAATACCGAAAAAATTGATGTTTAAATTATTTTCAAGTGTTTAGGCACGTTTCAATTGTAGACTTGCCAAAGGAAGTGCAAATAGAGTTATAGAAAGTTGTTGTTTTAAAATTCATAACACTTTAGTGCTCCCTTTAGTCACGTAAATGGAATGCGGTTATGAAATTTGAACTTAACAGCTTGTTTCATCGTGGGAAAAAGTTTTTTGTTTTGTTTTTTGCATCCAAAAATTTGTCCAGACGAGACTAAAAAGAAGAAGGATGGTTGCTGTTTCCTTAGCACAAAATCTGGCAGCTAAGTCAGGAATCAGTGATCTTGTTATACCACAGAGATAGTGTCAGTGATCCGTACCTCACTGTAACATAGAGTAGATTTTGGGGTGTGTGCTTAATTGTCATACAGGAAATGATATGTCTGTTAGTCAGAGCTCAACCATTGTATGTTTAAACACTTTGATATTTCGTACCATGATCATTACAGGCAATTCACCTTCAGTTGTGAATCTGGCATCCCACTAAAAAGATGGACAGCTTAATTACGTTTTTTTTTCCCTAAGAAACAGACAGTTTTGTTTGGCCTTAGTGACTTGTTGGTTTCTTGCAACTGGATGAGTACAGCTTCTGATTTGTTTTATAGGATATGTGAGGAACTTGGGTATAGTTATTTGAGGAGTTAATTTGGCTCTTGCATTCCCTTTAGAATACAGATTTTCTATACCCTTCTGTTTAGGATATTTTGGAATCTGCATTGGAAAATTTCAGAACCGCCTTGGAAAAAAATGTATGTAGATCTGCCTCTTCAAATCACATTTTTGTTATGAGGTGATTCTTAATGGCTACGCTACCATATGCCAATCTAGAAGAGTTTAGGAGATTTATAATACTTGAAACTTTTGCCTTTATTTATTAAAGTCAAAATGGTTTATTCAGCAACAACTACAAGAGTTTTACAAGAAACAGCAAGAGCAGTTACATCTTCAGCTTTTGCAGCAGCAGCAACAGCAGCAGCAACAGCAACAACAGCAGCAGCAACAACAGCAGCAGCAACAGCAGCAGCAACAGCAACAGCAGCAGCAGCAGCAGCAGCAGCAGCAGCATCCAGGAAAGCAAGCAAAAGAGGTAGGAGCTGGGACATTTGCTGACACGTAGTAGTAGCGTGAGCTGTCAGGAGCTCAGAAAAGACAAGAACGGTTTAGATCTTTTCCTGTAGCGAGAATCTAGCTATCAAAGATCTGTTCTTACGTTTTTGCTGGGCTTAAGAGCAGTGCTAGTATAATTCTCTTGCTCCCTCTTCTCAACCAAAGGATTTGAGCAGCGTAGTGCTGCTGTCGTCTAATGTTCGCTAATGAATCAGAGTGTGCAAAGAACAAGCTGTGTGGTGGACAAAGTACTGATTATCTTGTATTCACAGAGAATTTCAGTTGGGGAAGGAAACCTGACTTGTCGCTGCGGTACAGCTCAAAGAGCATGCAAATTTAGTCCACGGTTTAAAAAAAACAGTTGAGCACAGATTTCAAAGTCACAGGCCCCTGATTAATGAACTGCTACTGTAGGTTTGGAGTGGCGAGGAGAAAGTTACAGTTTGATGTGCTCATAAATCAACCTGACAAGCTGGTTTCTCAGGCCTAGCTTGCACTTGTCAGCAAACTGCATCAAATATAAACATAATACAAACAAAACATGTTGAAGTAGTTAAATTGATCAGCAGGTATCCTAGACGTTGTCTTCAAGCTGCCCATTATGCAAACGTACAGGAAACAGTTCTGACCTCCTGAGGCTTTGTTTCTGTTTGGATTTGTGAATAGGGTTTCAGACAGCCGTCAACTATGGAATAGAAATTGCTCCCTTATTTCTCCGGAGGCTCTGGGCAATCCACATGACTTGCTCCATTATGCAGTCTGTTTTCCAGTGAGCGCATCAGAAGTTTCTCTTTTCCCCAAACTAAAAAGGAAAGGTCTTCCGCAGCAGCTTGTCTCTCTCTGAAGTGTGACTGCCTTCTTATGCCCTCCTGAGTCTAAAGAACTGCAGTTTGTCTTGTAATGCCTCACAAAATTGGAAGTTATACTTTTACTCATAATAGGGCACTTCTTTACCTTGAATGTAATGCTCGTTTTAATATATTCCAACAAGAAAAGAGAGAGAGCTAACAGGCCAGGGAAACGAAGGCTACATCCCAGTTTACTAATAGATCACTGGAGACCACATTCATGGCCGACTGCAGACCAAACTTAGTCAATTGGAAAAACAAGAGTGCCTTTGAATCACAGACTGCTGTAAAGGGTCGCACTTTTAGCATAGATAAATTTGTTATCATCTGCCATGAGCTAGGCTTTTTTTTTTCCTGTTTTGTTTGAAATGGCTGTTATATGCTTTCTCTTGACTCTTTTCTTTTGTGTGTCCTTAACTGTGTCTTGCCATTTTCCCTAACACGTAGTAGCTTCAATGAATATAGCAGAAAGTTTCAAACTATTTCACTACCTGAGTTTCCTACAAATAGCGTTATTATTTAATAACTGAGATGAAAGGGAAAGAAGGTGAGGTTCTGTTTGGGGCTTTCTGGCTTTCGCTGCACACTTTATTCTCTGCTGCAT